GTACATGTTCTTCTGAAAGCTGCCCATAAGCTCTCTGTTCCTCCTGGCTTGCAAAGGAAGCCTGCTGAGATTAAGGTGTGAGATAAGAAGAAGGCCAGTGCTGCCAGCATATGTCTTATTACTCAGCCAGAAAATTCTCCGTGCATTTCGCCAACAGGCTTCTTTGGGGGCATCCGTCAGTCGTTTGGCCTTCCTTCGACAAGATCGCAAGACCAGCAACTCTATTCTTGTTGAAGGAAAAGCTGAAAGATTAACAGATTCCCCCCGGAAGAAACGCTTAGAGCTATTTCTCAGTAAGTGGTGCGGCCCTCTTATTTTCTACAAGATTAAGGTGAGCACAATAAAACGCAGGGTGGCCAAGAATTAGGGTTGTCCGGTCTGGGTTGGGAGATCTACGGGGCCGCCTCTCCCAGCACAGCCCCCTTTAGGGAAGAAGACATAATGTCTAATGCCATCTGATTAGTTTGATTACTGCTATTCTATTGTTTTAAATTATCCCGCTTCACAGAACACTGCTGCTTCTTTCTAGACCCACAATCGGGCACGAGCATGCTTCCGTTTTGGTCTGTTAATGTGAGCGGGTGACGGCACCCGTATTATACTTACTGGCCATACTTACAGAGTCCAGCGGCACCTTGAAGGCCAACATAGTATAATTCTGAGTATAAGTTTTGACGTGCACGCACACATAAAGCATCTCCCCAGAATAAAACTTTGTCGGTCCTCAAGGTGCCACTGGGACCGCAGCTTTCGTTCTGCTGCTTCAGACCAGCACGACTACCCACCTGGATCTGGGCATATTTACAGTTGAACCTAACAAGTGAGCCATTAATATTCACCTCCTGTTTTGGTTTGGTTGGTTTCTCTTAGCATGGAAGGCTCCATAGTACACTTGCCCGAGATAGTGGCCCTGAAGAGGAAATACAAAGCCTACCTCTACTTGGACGAAGCCCACAGCATCGGGGCCGTTGGCCCCACAGGCCGGGGGGTCGTGGAGTACTTTGGAATGGACCCCGATGATGTCGACGTCCTGATGGGAACGTTCACCAAAAGCTTTGGAGCGTCTGGAGGCTACGTCGCTGGCAGGAAGGTAACCACAACCGTGCGCACCTGCAAGTGGAGCGAGAACCCAGGGGTGTGGTAGCCGCTGGCCTTTTAAAGATTGGGCCCGGCTCGCTGTAGACAAGAGGAACCCAGCTTCCTGGTTCTGCCTGGTTCTTAGAAAATCTTGCCAGCTCCCACAAAGTCCCCCTTTGATGAGTCCCTCTGTGGTGTTGTACGAATAGATTCCCAAGCCCAAAAGGAAACCGCAATGAGGAGGGAGGTTCTTCGGTTATTTAATGGCAATCAACTGAAAACAGTTAGGCCAAACCAGCCTGTCAAAAATTGACTGCTTCCTGGGCACTATCAGGAAGTTCAGGAAGTTTTATACCAAGAATGACATCGGCAGAAAGAGAACATCCAGAAATCACAATTGGTCACAAAATGAGAAGGAGAGAGAGAAGAGATTGGATTTATACCCCGCCCTTCACTACCCAAAGGAGTCTCAGAGCGGCTGACAAACTCCTTTCCCTTCCCCTCCCCACAACAAACACCCTGTGAGGTAGGCAGGGCTGAGAGAGCTCTGACAGAGACTGCTCTTTTTCAAGAACAGCTCTGACAGAACTGTGGCTTGCCCAAGGTCATCCAACAGGTGCCAGTGGAGGAGTGGGGAACCAAACCTGGTTCTCCCAGATTAGAGTCCGCACACTTAACCACGACACCAAAATGACAGAGCATCATCTGAGTAGACATTCATTCATTGGTCAGTTACAAGAAAAGGTGTGACTGCGTAATATCTTAAATGTTTATTTAACATAACCTTAATAATAATACCCAAGGATTCTCCATACCCAAACGAAAAGTGTTGTTTTCTGATATGAAACTAAAGCCCCTTGTAGACCCAGACACTGCAGAGTTCTACCCCAAACAACTAAAACCATGAACTCTATGCTTCAAGCAAATACATCTATTGAAAAGCCTATCTTCTGCTGTACCGGCAGTACTACACTGAAGGCCTGTTAAGACACCAGACAGCTAGATAGCTATTTCATCCAAATATCTAGAAAGGGGGGGGGGGATGTTGTTTCTTGTCCGCTAGGAAAAGGTAAAGGTTCCCTTGCTCGAAAGCCAATCGAATCCGACTCTAGGGTTGCAGTGCTCATCTCCGTTTCAAAGCCGAAGAGCCAGCGCTGTCCGAAGACGTTTCCGTGGTCATGTGGCTGGCATGACTAAACACCAAGGCGCATGGAACACTGTTACCTTCCCACCGAAGTGGCACCTATTGATCTACTTGCAATTTCTTGCTTTCGAACTGCTAGGTTGGCAGGAGCTGGACCTAGAGATGGGAGCTCACTCCATCATGCGGCACACTCGGGTCTCAAACTGCTGAACTACTGACCTTCCACAGCCTGCAGTTCAGCGTCTTAACCACTTGAGCCACCGCAGCTCTTGTCCGCTAGCATCCACTAAAAAGACGCTCTGACCTACAGAGGAGAGGCCTTACCACTGAGTAGGCGTTGATTAAATCCTAATAAAACCTTAATATCAAAAAATCCATAAAACCAGAAAAATATAAGTATATGAGTAATCTGAATTTTAAAAAGCATGATGTATTCCCATCCATGCTACGTTGGGCATCTGTCTGCCGGCACTCCGTTTGAAGGCCTTTGCATGGTTCAAAATGCACCTGTGTAGCACAGGTAGCCTCCCACGTAACACGCTGCCTAGCACAGGTTTAAAAATTCTGTTTTGGGTCCCCCTTTCTCCTCTCCCAGTGGGGTTCGAGCCATTCGTGCATCGCTGATTTTAAGTTCCATCATAACCAAACCGTTCAGCCACTTGGACTCTTGGTGGTAATAAACAATGCTTCTGCTGTCTAGTGATCGTCAGCAAACCGTGGCTTGCTCAATCAGGATTTAATTCCACGGGATCGCATGCCAGTTGCTCCCCACGTGTCCTCTTTAATTAAAAGTCATCAAGTATTATGGTGGTGTGCCAGAGAAAGCAGAGCAACAGATTTGTATGCTAGTTCCCAAACCAGGGCTGCGGTGGCTCAGTGGTTAAGACGCTGAACTGCAGACCGGAAGGTCGGTAGTTTCGCCGTTCAAGACCCGAGTGCTGCGTGACGGAGTGAGCTCCCGTCTAGAGATGTAAAATTTCCGGAAATTTTGAAGCTTGGAAGAAAAACCGGGTTTTTTTCCGGGTTTTTTCCGGGGGAAACAGAAATTTTCGGAAAAATTGAAAAAATGCTACATTAGCATTTCTTTTGTCTTTTCTAGATTGAAAGTCATTCTGTTACTTTAGGAAAATAAAATATGACTATGGACATTTTTACTTGGCATGAAATTATCACAACTAGCATATTAAAAATATAGTGTGTCCAAACAATTATTACAAACAGAATACCCATCCACATGCAAAAACAAAACTGAAACTTTTTTATTTTCTTCTGACAATCGCACCTCCTAAAGGAAGAAATGCATCTTGTTCTTGCATTGGAGAGTTCAGTTTGTAACCTAGGACTTGCTTGTCCTCAGTGCACAGAAATTAGATCAATCTGATACCATATATATATATTTTAGAAATGATTTGGAAAATATTTGAACACCTTGTCTTAAAATATTTTATTCATCATGTGAAAATAAAATGTTCCATAATCAATTTTTTTCTTTTCTTTTCTTTTTTCAATTTTTCCAATTTTTCG